GACGGCTTGGAACAACTTTGTATCGTATTACAAAGTTCATGGGCACACGGTTAGTGTGACCCCAGGCTGTGGAGACTTCACTTCATTTCCCGTTTTTCTTCCTTCCACTTCAGTTTCTAATGAAATGTCACAGACACAGTTCACGATTCAGTTTCACTTTAAAATAATTATTCAGCAATTCATATCCTCCCCACGGTCACAGCAGACAGGTCTGTTACATCACGTTCTCATCCCTCGTGCAGTAAATCACAACGATTAATTGCTCTCAGAAGTTAGAGGCTGATTGTAGATTTGTTTCTTCTATCCGCTCATCTCATAAATAATTCAAGACTTCATTCACTGTACTGTGATTACTGAGCGTACTACAGTAACACCTCCCTGGGTAATGCTATATTTTAGTACGATACCGAACTAAATATCAGGGATGGGAATCCTCGTGCCGCTCCTTACAGTACTGACTAAAAACTAAAAGTACTGAGAACCTGAAACAAGGCTCAGCAGCAGGTACACTCAGGCGTGGTATATTTAGCTATTTGAGAGGAGTTACTTGTTACATGTAAGGAAATATCAGTCTGATATCAGCAGCATATCAATCAGACACACATCTCCAAAAGTTGAATCTGTTCATCTGGACGTAGTGTTTTTGTGGGAGAAACGTTTCTGTGTGTGTGTGTGTGTGTGTGTGTGTGTGTGTGTGTGTGTGTGTGTGTGTGTGTGTGTGTGTGTGGACTAAGAGTCAAACTACAGATGAAGGTGAGGATAAACAGATCCTTCAGGCCTCAGCAGATAAGGATTCCTTTACTGTCGTTGTACTTACAGAGGAATTGGAGCAGACTAGCACACATGCATTATTACATGCTTTCACTCGTGATTCATTCTACAGAATAAAATAACAATAAAATAAAAATAGACAGACTAATAAACAAAAGTATGCGTACAGTTCTACTAAAAGGATTAAATGACAGTGCAGCCATGCAGCATGAGTGTTATTGTTCTGTACTGTGTGTAATTATATCCAAATAAAAAATATCCAACTCACATCACTCAATAAATCTGTGACCACTAGTTGACACTAAGAGCCAATCAGAAGCCACGAGAGGTCTAATCTCCTTTCAGAATAAAAGGCTGTTAATTTGCTCTAAAACCTGAGGAGTTTAAATATCTGAAAGTTGATGTTGATGAAAAAGTTCAAGCTGAGCTGAAGCTGCTCTTTGTTCAGTCACCGGATCTCCTAATTTAATAAAAACACAGCAGCATCTGCTCAGTTCATAGACTCGGAGAGAAATCAGTTTAAAGCACTTAAAACAT